TGATTTTATTATAAACACTTCATGAAAGTTTGAACTGACCTTATGAACTGAATGTTTGCAATTGTCTTATATAGCCTACTCAGAGCAACAAAAAAGCAATAATTATTATATAATTATTATATAGGATTATTTAGTGTAATAAACTACTTCAGAATCTTATTATCGTACTTGGTTAATCACTTTGTTGTGAAATACAAAAACCAAACAATAATGTGTCACATTAAAATGAATTACTATAGTTAATCATTTAAACAATATATAATAAAGTCTATATATTATATTATCTTAACTGATTATCCGATTATAAACTACTGTCTTTTACTTAACTGTTACCTATATATATATATATATATATATATATATATATATATATATATATATATATATATATATATATATATATATATATATATTATATATAATTATAATAATTATTATTATTATTATTATTATTATTATTATTATTATTATTATTATTATTATTATTAATTATTACCAGTTCATTTGTTTGTAATGCTAAATTTGTTGCAACTGTAATTACAACAAATTACCAGTACTATATGGTTTAAAAACAATATATTGCTTACTTTAAACTACTATAGTATTTAACGTGGGAAATCATTAATTAAAAAGTTATTAGAAAATTAAGCAAATAAATACTATTAAATCACTAGAGTAGAATATTAATGTAATGTCATACATTTTTTACATGTAAAAATATTTTTATTTCATATAAAGATATATTAGTGCCTATTAAACCTGTCCAATTTAGATCATTCAGCAAGGCCAGCAAACGAGTATCTGCTATATTGACTGATCATTTTTGATGATGACTGGTAGAAAACTGTTCAGTCTATTATATTGAATGGTGATCGGAAACAACGCTTTCCATTCGCTCCTCTTGATTGCAATATTTGTAAAATAGTATATGTATATTAACAATATACAATTATATTAATGACAATGTCCGAGAAGAAGTTAATAACAGTGACATCCGTCGTAACTATATATGGTTTGCCTAGATCGTGTGTGCTGGATTGTGTGTGCCTGAAACGTGTGTGGTTCTGCGAGTCTGCAGCTGGATACTATTGGAAGTTTTCGGTAGTACAGTGCTGTCACTGTAAAACACATAGGTTAACAGTATACTACTGTAACCATACTGTAAAGTAATTTATGTGTTACCTGATTTATACTAAAGGTTTTATGTTTGTTTTTATGTTTGTGCTGAATTCATTTTTATGTGTGTCGTTACAAAATATCTTTGTTGGCTGACAAAGGACTGATGACACACTCCACTAAAAAAGTGTTCTCTGAAGAACTAATTACACACTTTTAAAAGACACACATCAAAAGACAAACCTTTTTAAAAATCATTGGCAAGTTTTCTTTTACCACGCATTTTCGGTCTCAGCGAGAGCTGTCATTCTCCTGTCTTTCTACATGGATGACTTTGTTGTTTATAAACTTGACCAAGTCTATAGGAACAAAGAAGCCTGTAATTACAACATATGTTTAAATTTCGACTAAATAAAATATCACCCTACAACCCAAGACTGGTTGCTCACTAAAGCTAAGCAGAGCTGAGGCTGGTCAGTACCGGGATGGGAGACCACATGGGAAAACTAGGTAGCTGTTGAAAGTGGTGTTTGTGATGGTGCCAGCGGGATGTGCTTACCCTGTGGTCTGTGTGAGTCCTAATGCCCCAGTATACCGAAGGGGACATTATACTGTCAGTAGCCGCGTTTCCACTATCGCGCCTAAAGCGAGCGAGCCAGGGCGAGCCAAGGCCAGTTGCATTTCCACTGTCACTTCCGGGGCCTAATTGGGCCAAATCGGGGCTTTCTTGGGGCCAGCGGCCGGCCTTTTTCGGCCCGCCGAATACCTTGGGCCAAAGAGGGCCAGCCTGGGCTTCGGGGCGGAGTGAAAGGAGAGGCGGAGACAGTTTTCTGATCGCACATGAGTACATGCGCGAAACACATAACAAATAAATAAATAAGGGAAAGAAAACATCTGGAACAAATTATAGGCTGGGGTCTTTTTGCGTATGATCGCCCTTATGTTTCTCTTTTAAATGTAAGGCTGTTGCATAAAATAATAAAGTAGGTTTAATTTATAATTGACATTTCTTTGCTGCGTCCTCCTTGATGTTTCAATAACGCGTAATAGTTAATACACCATATTAAAGAAAGAGCAGGCAGTAAAGGTTTTAGAGAGTTTTTGTCAAGTTTAAAAGGTGTATTTGTGCGCGTTTAGGTGCCTGTATGTGTGTGTGAGACCGAGGAAAAGAGCGCTCCCTTCATAGCTCTGTTGATGCTGCGAGCGCCTTTTTTCTTTTCTTTTTTATTGTTTTTATTTATTTTGGAGATAATACACATATATGAATACAACTGAAAGACATTAAACTTTACAAATTTCGTGTCCACTTTTGTAGGCTCAAAACAATAGTGTCATAACTAGATAAAAAAGCCTAAGCTATATTGAAATAATTTAAAGAATTACAAATATCAGATATAATAAAATCACATTAAAAAAATAAACCAATATAAAACTAACAAAAGCTAGCTAGAACAATTAGGTACTATATCAAACTGTTTTAAAGCCATAAACTTTCATTTTTCAAAAGTCTCTCTGAAAAAAAAGATTTTAGATATTTTCTAAAAACAAGAAACACCGGAGAATGTTTTAAATATTATTTATAAAGTATTTGGATACGATGATATTAATCAGATCATGCAAACAGCGTTTTTGGGATTGAGTGAAAGCAGAAACTAGGCGACCTTTTTTTCTGTCTTCCAGCTACGCAGCACTTTTTTGACGCATCGGGGAAAACTGCAAGTTCAAAATGTGTTCTGTGTCCTCAAACAAGTGTTTGTTTTTATATGACGTGGTAAAATGAAAAAAGGAAATTTTAAATACACAAAGAGCTTTATTAGTGCATCGCTGCTGAGCGCATGCAATATAGGCTATATTTTATTACATGCTGCTCTTATGTGCTGAAACACTTAACACTTTCCTTTACTTAAGATTTTATAACCAACATCTTTAAATAAAGGGAATCGCCTAACTTAGTGTCATAAAGCCTATAGGGAGCATTTGGGATGAATGTTGGACAGCGTCTGTCTAACTGAGGATGTTATAAAATACATTTTATATCGAGTTATTAACGGAGAATTTTATATAGGCCTATGTGGTGTTATATTATGGATGTGCGCTCCCTGCGCTGGGTCCCTCCGTTAGTGGCAAGACCACTGGATTTCGATGCCAACAGTCGGTCGGCCAGTAAATGAATATGATGAATGAGAACACACAGGTATGTGCGTATAGACATACATTGTACTGCTGTACAGTAACGTGTCATTTGTTTGTTTTGGTTGTCCTTATTTTAATAGTTTCGTGATGATGCGGTGTGCTTTATCTGCCTGATTCCCGCTAAAGTGGGCGGATTGAGTGACGTTTGATTCGGGGGATGTTCTGGGGGCGGGGTTTGCTTGACGCGCTGCGAGCTACTAGCCCGACAGTGGAAACGCGACATGATTTCGGCCTCACTGCTCAGCCTCCCGGGCGATTGGCCTGGCCTGCCCCGGTAAAAGCCCTGGCTCATCTGGCCTGATAGTGGAAATGCGGCTAGTGAGCAGTGTCATTTGAATGAGATGATATACTGAGGCCCTGACTGTCGGTGCTCATTAATAACAATTTTTATAAAGATTAGGGGTGCAATCCTTGCCAAATTTCCTTCCCCGGCACTTACCTATCCACCAAGTCCTCCTCATCCTCTGAATTGGCTCTATCTCTGTTCTCTCCACTCCACCTGCAGCTGATGAGTACTCTGGTGCATTTGTCTTGAGGTTGTCATTGCATCATTTAGGTATAGTAGGGTATCACTTAGTATCACTTAGGTATTAAAATCCTGAATCTCTTCATTAAACTTTGAATTTGGCGTGAACCAGAAGTTGCTGAGACTTTTAATTCATTATGTTTATGTACTTTCAAATGAAATGGAATATTGATTGGGGGTGGGGCATTTTTTTGCACCCTCATAGCAAACTATTGGTAAGGGAGGGCATTGATATGCAGTTGCTATGGAAGCTCTAAGGTTGACATCAACAGAAGGAGCGCTACTCCAAAGGCAGAAGCAATTGGTCAGACTTACATTGAAGATAACCAAAATATTTTCCCCAATGAATTAACTTGCACAGGTTAATTATTCACCTTAATAACAATGTGAGCTAACGAAATAAACATTGTAAATTTTGATTTCTCGCGGACTTTAAACATGCCAAAGCTCCTTTCTCCTTATCACTATAATACATTTTCAGCATCCAGCTGTTAACACTCTCTCTTGTCAGTCCACAGCACTAAACATCAAAGGCACGGACAGACCCATCCTAAGAGGATTCTATCATGTCTATCTAAAACAGGCCCCGCAAACTAAACAGATGACATCACCTTAGTTGGTGCTCACCAATTTTAGAACAGCGGGACGACACGCATTAATCTCTTCAAAGCGCTGCTCGCTTGTCGCTTCATAACAGTGAGGGCAGGTCATCTTTAGAGAGGGCCGCTGATGTATACAAAGTGCTTGAGTTTGGAGAGCCATCTCCATAACAAACAGCTGGAGGGTGAGGTATTGAGGAGATACATATGTCCCCCTCGCTCGCCTTCTAACGGGCTCCACTCCTTCTTCGGTGCGTTTCCACACCCCTTCCAGAACCGTTTGCATCATTTGTGGCAGCACAGTGGAAAATCCCTCCATGGCGAGGGCAGCTGGTTTGTTTTGGCAGATGCAGGCCTCACCGCACTTATCAGCAGTGCCTAAACATGCAGGGTTTTCCTCAAACACTGTATCTCATCGCTGTATAAATCTGACGTCTAAGCCATTTAGATTGTGCTCTCATTTTTGCCTTGTGAATATTGTATAATGAAATGGTTTAATATATGATGTAATGGTTTGCTCTGTCATTCAAACATGTTTTGGTTGTTTTGTTTATGTGTGTTCCCAGGTGAAGTGGAGCGGGAGTCCGGTTGAGTATAGTCTTGAGGGAGAGTTTCCAGAAATGCTCTTCACTATCAACAGAGAAGGGATCATTTACCTGAATGCTCCTCTGGACAGAGAAACACAAGACCAGGTGAAGAAAAAGCAAACTTCAGTCACACTCGTGTAGATTTACATACAGTACTAAAACTTGATTTCACAGTAAAGACTAGATTTAAGTGAAGTATGGGACATTTAAGTCATTTATTTGAATGTGTCTTAGAATAAAAAGCATTATGGGTGTTCATCTTGAGAAAAAAAAGGCACTGAATTGTTTTACGAATAACCAGCACAAGCTAGTTTACATTTAAACAACTCTGAATTTGTATTGTTAGATTTTCTTAACAAATAAATCTAATGTACAAATATATGGATATCTGTTATTTCCTTAAATAATAGCAAAATAGCAATGCTTTTACATTTTATAATACTATTGTATTATTTTAATAAGGTGTACATTATCAAATCTCTTAGTAAAAACTTTAAACTGATCACACTTGTAGTGCCAGTTGTTCTTTCAAAACCTGACATCATGCTTTCATTGTAGTTACACATGCTTTCATTTCAGCTAATCATTGCTTAATAAAACAAGATCATTGTGATTTGTATTGAAAACAGTTGGTTTAATCATTAAAACACAAGAGTGAGATCTTTTTTTTTAACCTAATAATTTTAACAGTCAGTTCATTTAGTAGCAAACAAGCTGGTTTCAAATAACCATCGGTCCTAAATTAATGCTACTGTAAGACTGTATACACAGCCATCACAGCAAGTGTTAGACTTACAGCATGTTCAAACAAACTGACAAAGCTATATATTTTTATTAAATCTTAATACAAAATGATATAACTACTTATCAAGTCATTTACTTTTTATTTGTCATTTTATTTTTATTAGTCATTTATTTTTGATATTATATGTAAGCAAAAACATGTAGTAATTGTATTTCTTGACTAAAAGCTCTTGCAGCAGTTTGTAATTTACAAAAAATCTGACAACAATCAGATTTTGCCTTCGTTTATATTTATTTCTTTAATCAAGTATTCCGGCTAGGATCTTGAAGCTTTAGCTGAGCCCTCCACGCAAGCCTGTTTTGGCACACAGCACACCAAATCCTGACTACTTCATATAATCTTGTTCACTAGCTCATATAATCCTTAAGTATGATGCAAGTAAGTTACTGTTACAAGTCATGCTTGAGGAGTGTATTAACTAGTGAACTTGGATAAGAGACTTTTTTTCCCTCCTTATTCTCACCAAAATTTAAATTCATCACAAATACAATAACAATTATGATGGCCAAGAAAGATGAAAATATGCTGCAAAAAAAATAATAATAATAAAAATTGAGAAGACATCTTTATCAATTTGACAAAAGAGCCTCATGCAAGTTCTCGTAACATAGGCAAATGCAGAAATGCACGGCAAATACACCAGACAGTATGAAACAGAAATATGCTGGGGGTCAACAAAATGTGTTGTTGTAAATGTGAGAGGTGACATTTTTGCATATTGTTATTTTAATATTTTTAGGTCTAATAATATGACAAATTAACTCCCCTCTCAGATCTCCAACAACACTTTTTGCGGTTTCTCAACATATTTCTATAGTGGTCTGTGCTTTGTGTTTTTGTATTTGCTTGTGTTGTGAGATTTTGCATAGATGTGTGCTACCAAACTTATAAAGATGTTTTGTTTTTTCAATTTGTCGGTGTTATATATACTATATATATTATAATTATAAATATTATTATTTATATATGTTTGTTCTTAGCTTGCACCACATTTGAGCTCTCTCAGCCACTGTTGGGCAGTTTTACTGTCCAAAATCTGTAAAACTGTGAAGAGTTTTTAATTAAAAATCAACATTTTGCATTTTGTTATACTTTAGAATCCAGTTTAATCCTGTGTTTGAAAGCTGAACTTTCAGTGAGCATTGTTGTTTTCATAATGCAGTAAAAGACCCCAATGCAATTGACATACTGAATTGTTGTTGTTTTTCCCACTTTTAGTTTCACATTGACATAGTGGTGGAGAGGCCAGATGGCAGAGAGATTGCTAAGCCTGTGGAGCTGAGAGTGATGGTGGGCGACGCCAATGACAACAGACCCACTTTTCCACAGATGCAGTACCACACTGTGGTCAAAGAGCTGGCAACTAAAGGTCACACACACACACATTAAAATTCGTAGTTTACGAGGACTCTTTACAGGTCTAATGTATTGTATACAGTAAAATAGTAAAACTTACTACAGTATACCACCCTTACCCCTAAACCCAACCCTGAAAGAAAACTCAGCTAAGTGTGAATAAGACATAAGACTTTAAGTATTATTTTGGTCACACTTAATTTTGATGGTCCGTTTGTTACATTGCATCTACATGTCAACTAATTCTCATTAGATTATAAGTAGACTGTTATATTGGGGTTAGGGTTAGGGTTAGTGTAAGTTGACATGTACTTGCAAAGTTTCTTATAGTCAGTTAATGTCTGTTGAAGGCGCATATCAACAAATATTAAGCAGACAGTCTACTAATACTCAATTGGACCATCAAAATAAAGTGTTACTATTATTTTTTTATGTGCATTGAATTACGAGGACACAAGGCATGTCACCATAAACCAGTTTAGTATAGTAGAATTAGCTCATAGCTCATACTCACTATAAACTGTATATATAATACTGTCTATAATATATAAAACTGTATATAAAAAACTATATAATACTGTCACTATAAACATTTCTGTCCTTGTAAACCACCAAAACTAGTATGCACACACAAACACAAAACAATCTTGTACAGCTATCTTTATGGGGACTTCCAATAGACATAATGATGCTTATACTGTAAAAAAATAAATTCTATTCTCTTACACCTAAACCCTCACTTGAAACATTCTGCATTTTTATATTTTTTAAATACTTTATTCTATTTGATTTAGGAGCCTTTTTTCCTGACAGGGACCCCACAAGGGTAAAATGTAGAGATATAGTGATACGTGTGGGGATATTTGGTCTTTATACAAAGCACACACACATACACTAACAGTAGGTTCATGCAGTGGTGTGATTATCTTCTGCTTTCAGGTACAGAGATTTTGACTGTCCAAGCTGCCGATAATGACGATCCGAAAACAGACAACGTGCGTATATTTTATCGTCTGGTTGGCCAGATGCCTGAGACTCCCAGGAACTTGTTTCGTGTGGACCGGGACTCTGGAGTCATCACAGTGCAGGCAGACAGCATGGAGGGAACTGCTCCACAATACACACTCACCATCACGGCAGAGGACGCTAAAGGTCGACACAACACTGATCAATGCAAAACTACTCTACAAAAATCACTGTGTAATTAAAGCAGTGCAATTCCATGCATTTGTGTCTGATTAGTTGGTGATTAGTAACACTTTCTTTTTAAATTTCAGATTGTGATGCTTAAACACCATTGTATATTACAATTAAGAGTAGTTACTGTATGCTGTATTTCAAGAAAATCTTATTTCATTCTTTCTACTTCAAAACGTCATGTGTAATTTAGTGTTAGTTTTTTTGCAGTTTCTTTTTTAAACAGTTTGCTAGAATGAGTTTGTTAAATATGTTGTAAAATTAACAGCATTACTTGCCTTTTTGATGCTATTAATACTGAAAAGTTTACAAGTACATTGTAAATTAACAATTGTAAATTAACTAATAATTATTCATTTAAAGTGCACTTGTAAATTTTACAGTATTACTGGCAATTGTTACAGTTTTACTGACAAAAATATGCTGTAGTTTTAGTTTCAAAGGGCACCTATGATGAAAATCAACTTTTGGGAGCTAATGGACAGAACTGTGTGTAGGTATAGTGTGCCAGTCAAATTGGGGTGATAGAAACACAATAAGTTTTTTTTTTTTTTTTATTGACGTTAAAATAGGATCCAAACCCCTCCCATATTGAGACCAAGCGTAACTGAGCTCACCGATTGACATCATATCATCAGGACAGGACATGCGCAAAGCAACCGGGATTAAAAGATCTGTTGAGCTCGCTGTGATCCTCAATCGTCATCAAATGTGACAAAAAACGAGTTTTACAAGTTTAACACATTTTTTTAAAACACTGCATGTTTGCAATAAATTACAGTGATTTACTTCAGTTTTACTTCATCACTACAGATACATATCAGTACAATTATAAAGGAAGATGCTTCAATCCCAGTTTGTGAAAGTTAAATTAGGTTTATTTTGTACATTAACAGAACAGATATCCATACATTAGTTGATGTTACCATGTATCCCGTCGCATTTGCTGTGCAAAATCAGTGCGAAGTTAAACGCGTGTGCTGTGTGTGTGTGCATAAACTTTGTAAGGACATTGTGTGTGACTCATCATTGCAGAAAGACTTGAATTAACTCCACAACAAATACATCAAATAATCATTGGGAAAGTTCTTACTGTAGGATTTCTCACAAGCTTTACATGAGATCTACTTCCTTCATGTCTGTCATTGTGCTGTTTATCTGACACAGCCGAGGCAGAGATTGAAGCACACTCTGACAGGCACATGGGAATGGTGGGCGGTGAGTACAAGCATTAAATGTACAGTCAACAAAAACAGCTACAAAATGCTAAGAGCTGAAAATTACACAGTTCTGAAAGCTATAATAAATAATCTGATGGGTGTTTTGAGCTGAAACTTTACAGACACATTCTGGAGACACAGAAGATTCTCACAAAAATCTTGAAAAGGGGGTAAAATGGGTGCCCTTTAATTGGTAAATTGCAAGTAATACTGTCAAATTTACAGCTATTTTTAACGGTGTACACCATACTTTTATTGTAGTGTATTTATGTAGCAGCTACTCTAATGCCTCTTGTGTGTCAGACATCACAATACACCATGCAGGTTCTGATATGCTGCTAGCAAAGTGAGTTCTTGCTGTATGTTTTATATTGTAGCTCTCCTAATGATAATGGCAGTCATAAATGCGGCATTATTGTTGTAAATAGTTGATCAATATCTTCTCTTTGTTGTTCTTAGGGTTGAACAGCTCCTGCACTGTCATCGTTAAAGTTTTGGATGAAAACAACAACCCACCGATTTTCTCCCATCTTGAGGTAAGAGCTGTGAGGAAAGTGTGAGTACTACTGCCACAGCCATATCCCCCTGCAGCCCATGACCGGTTACTCACTGAAGCTAAGCAGGGCTGAGTCTTGTCAGTACCTGGATGGGCGACCATGAGAAAACTAGGTGGCTGTTGGAAGTTGTTTTAGTGAGACCAGTAGGGGGCACTTAACCTGTGGTCTGTGTGAGTCCTAATGCCTCAGTAAAGTGAAGGGTACACTATTCTGTCAGTGAGTACCGTCTTTCGGATGCGACATTAAAACTGAAGTCCTGACTCTCTGAGGTCATTAAAATTGCCATGACCTCCCTCATGATTGTGAAGCGCTTTAGGTGTAAGGCCATACACGATAAATGTGCTATATAAATATTTATTACATTACAAAACTTTTCCTCTGTTTGATATTATTTTCAGTTTCGTGAATGAGATCAGTTACCTTGTGATACTTTTGATTATGCTGATTATGTTGTTGTTGTTGTCTATCAACCTCTCTCTCACACACTCTCTCTTTAAGATACTCTCTCTCTCTTCTTATCTTTTTTTCTTTGACTATGTGTTTATCTTCAAGACTGTGCTCTAGAAAATGTGATTTACAGAGAGAGCGAGAGATGTGATAAAGAGCTTTCAAGGAGAATCCATGCTTTAATCTCGGGCTTATGGGTCTGTAATAATTTGGCTGGCAGTGTTTCTTTTTATAGCATTGTGCTCTTCAAATGGCCAGTGTTCACAGCTATAACTGGATGAGAGCAATTAAGACAGTTTATTTCTGCATGTCATCAGTAATGAGCTCAAATCTCCTGATTGAAGTTAAATGCATTTGTACCTTAGTTTCATTGTGATGCGCATATTTAAAAAGCAAAACAACATTTCTAATTGCCAAGTTTTGGATTTATTTTATTACATTCAAATTAACTCAAGCCTATCACTGTCAGTTAGCTGTACTGAATTTGTACAGCATGCATATTACAGACTGAACAGTACACATCAGAACAGTTTTTGATGTATACATGTTTGTTGATTGATTGATTGATTGATCGATTGTTTGCTTGGTAAATTAATTGATTGATTGATTGATTGATTGATTGATTGATTGATTGATTGATTGATTGATTGATTGATTGATTGATTGATTGGTTGGTTGGTTGATTTAATTAATTGAATGATCTTAGTTAATCTTAATAAATAAAATTAATCTTTAAAAAAATATTTAATGTAATAATCGAGAATTAAGTTTGAATATATATTAGCACGATGTATTAAAATATGTATATGTTAAAATGTATCATATTTATTACATATATTATTATTATTGTTATTATTATTTTAATTCATTTATTTTATTTTAATTTTAATTTATTTATTTATTTGTATTATTTATTTTATTTATTTTGTTTTATAATTTTTTTATTAATTATTTTATTTTTATTATTTATTTTATTTTATTTTTATTTTATTTGTTATTATTATTATAATTTGTATTTATATATTTATATTTATTTATATATTTTTTTTAATTAGAGACTTTTAATATTACTTAAAATATTAGTTATCACCTTATAATCGTTAACATTATTTTCAATGTGTGTGTGTGTGTGTGTGTATATATATATATATATATATATATATATATATATATATATATATATATATATATATATATATATATACGCTGATCTAAAAATACTATATTATATAAACTAAAAATACACACGGCTGTGACATTACTGATTTACCTATTTTTAGCTGAATGTATTTTCCCGAGGTGATGTTCTAAATATGACCACATTCTAAATTTGTAGCGTTGTCTATTTATGGTACATGAGCACATTTGCTTATGCAGAACAGCCCTGAGCGCCTATCTGATGTCAACATCTTTGTTCATTGATGCGGCCAAGCTGAATTATAAACAGTGCCATGACCGCTGACAAAAATGATGAAAAGCGATGAGCAAAAGGAGAGCAGATACAGGATAAAGGCAGGCAGTGGCTCCTGGAAAATACCCTGCGTGTTTCCTCCTACGTGTTGTGAATAATACAGGAGATGGACGTACGTGGGTGCAGCAGGAAAGACAGATGA